ATGTTACAAGAGAAACTAAGAATGTTAGAACGTGTTTGCCTCTACACAGTTTTTAAAAAAGTGGTGGCTGTCCTTTTATCAAGTGTGGAAGTTACTAACATCAGTGTATTTCAAGAATCTGTTTCTCAAAAATGCATATGCTGGAAGCTATCCCTAAGCATAACTTGGGTTCATACTCCATGTCAACACTGAAATACCAGACAAGCAGAGGGCAAAGGCTAGCTTTCTGTGCAGGTAGTGCGTCTTCCTTGAGGCGAGATGTAGAGAAAATAAGTAGCCTCTCTACATAATATCCCTTTTTTTTTGACGTTGTACTGAAACTATGACCTTGATAAACTATACACATCCATTAACCACTCTTCCTCTCCTGCCATGAAGGTATGCAGATACCCTTTGTCTGTTAAGATTATTCTTCTGTGCTTATCCTTAGATTTTGTTTAGTTTTCCTAAGTCACATATTTGCAAACATTTTCTTATTCAGATCCAGAGTTGTTTATTATCAGCCTATTCATTCAATATACATTGCTTTCCTGCAAGGAGTTTTGAAACAAGAGTTCAGCAAGTCAGTGAGGAAATAGGTTATTTGCCATTCCTTTCATCAAATTGCTTGGCATTTCTTGTTTCAATAAAATGGAAACAAATTATAAAAAGCAAAAGAAACCTCTTATTCCATCTTCTGATATTACAACAACTCAAATATCCTTGAAGAGCACTTCTGGCCAGTTGGCTGTCTCCACTGTGTTTTCACTCCAGGAAAATTTAACTGAAAGATGGTTTGCAAAGGTTTAAGAGCAGTGATTTCTCTATGAAGGAACATAGGAATGAAGTGAACTGAAAGATACCTAGGATCTCTCTTGAAAGTTTGTATTAACTTGACACAGTTGTTTTTTGGTTGGTTTTTTTTGAGTCCACTCCTTTCAAACCTTTCTTTCCATTTCGCCCTCTATCCTCTTCTACCTAAATTCCACCTTCCTGTCTCTCAGGTCTACCACGCATTCCCACTTCTCTAAGCACTCGGAGCCAGTTTCCTAGCTCTCCTCTTCATTTACATGTCCTCAAACAGCATTTTTCTCATTCTGCCACTGTTCTCCCTCCCCATTTAGCAACACTTTGTATAATTTTTTATGCCAGCTTGTATTCTAATTAGTTCATCAACTTTGTTTTCTAGCAGACTAGACAAAGTTGGGGCAATCGGCACTTCCAGGTCCCTCATTATATAGTCCTGATACAAGCACACGTGTTAATACACAATACCAATAAAAAGAAAAACAAGCATAGGATAGAAATAATTGCTAGTTTTGGAAGGAAAGAGTTAAACTAAAAATGTAAGGTAGGAAACATCCACTGAATTTGGAAAAGGTTTAATATCCTGTCTCCTTGTTCCTGTAAGCGAAGGCGAGTGGAATGGAAGAGACTTCAAGGAACAGCAGCAGCCAGGATTCAGCCTGGCTCAGTCTGTTCTGGCAGAGATTTGACAGATATGCTCTGGACAGGTCTAACTCCCAGTACAGCTTGTTTTAGCTGAGAAGGTGTTAAAGTGAATATATAAACTACAGGAAAGCATGATGGTGACATGTTTTGTTTCTTGCTTGTTAAACCAGTAATTGTTATTGCAAGTAGCTGTCATTTCCACCAGCGTTTTCTTCTTGTTGACAATGAAGAAAACTCATTTGTTTTAAACTGTGAAGCTTAATTTACTTCATGGTTGGTTTCTTTCTTTGCCTGTCAATCCCAGACCTCTGAGAAAGAAAGGCAGTCAATTTTATAGCAAGCAGAAATCTGTATCTAAACTGCCAGAAAAAAACTTTGGCTTCTTACTGATTATGAAGGGATTTTTTTTGAAAGGCACATAAGATCAAAGACTCCCTTTTGAATCATATTAGCCAAGACTGCCAATCATTGACTATACCCAGACTGGCTAGTGATCTGTGGATATTTGCCTTTCAGATTGTATGGTTTTTAATTAAACTCGACAACTCTGGAAGAAATTGACTCTGTGAAGTTGGCTGCCTGCTGGCCTATAGCCATTTATGTCTCCAACAGCCAACTGTTCATACAGAAGTCAAGGACATGGTTATAGCCATGTCAGCACTGTGGGGAAGAGGGCGCACCACTATTAACTCGTAGAAACGCAAAGGAAACCTTTCTAGTGTAGAAGCAATTTAAGGAGGAAAAAATTATTGTGGGCATTCAGCTTATCCTATTCAGGAAGTGCTTTTGAGGCCATAAAGAAGGCTTCTGTAAGCTGTGTCATCACTAGGAGGGTTTGGCCTCCTAGGTGGCCTTGGTGATTAATACTTAAAAACACTTCAGCCAAACGTCTATATAGAATGACACCAGAAATGCCGTTTTTGAAAGCCAGGGAAAAATTAGTCTGTTTACAGCCCTGCATCATCTTAGATCAAAATACTTTTTCAAGCTCTCCTGTTCTGAAATCTGAAATTACTTGTATGTAGTTTAGTGCTAGCAGTAAAAAAACCAGTCAAAGAAAAAAAACCCCACAGCATCAGGTTTTTATCCTGGCTATCAAAATAAACCAAGCACTACAGAAATGTTTCCTGAACATACAGTTGTATAAAAATCCTTTGAAGGGGACTGTACTGTCCTGCACCAAAGCAAAAGATCCTCCAGTAGCTGTAAGGAGGCACATACGCAGCAGGAGGCTGTTTCCCAAAAGGGAGCTACAGAAAAAGGCCTTGTAAACGAAGTCTCTGCTTGGGAAGGCGTTTTATTGAAGCCTGGTTTAAGATTCAGATGAAGCACCATGTACTGTGCTGGGTTCTGCAGAGATACATTGAAATGTGGAGCTCTGTTGAGGTGCTCAGTTTGAACAGGCTGTGAACAGATTGGCTAAGCTTTCCTGAACATACTGACCTATAGATACAATTCTACCTAAAACCAGAGGGGCACGCAATGGATAGCTACCAATGGAGACACTAGCCAGTAAGTGCTGCTGCAGAAGCACTTAGGGGCCTGACGCACTGTAAAGAGGAGCTAGACCAAAGCTCCATCACACAGATGATAACAGGGCCAAGAGAATCAAGTGGTTATTTTTGCCCTGTCCTCCACATTCCCTGCCATACATGGCAAGAGACCAGAGAAGGTCTGAGCCAGCAAGAACAGCTGCAGCAGGAGCCCAGATGGGGACCCTCAGGCATTCAGACTTTTGAAGCACTCTGTCCCATGCTGCCCTTCGTTCTCTTCATTTCAGCTTTCTTTTCTTACTTTCCTCTGATCTGACCTGCCCTGTCCTCATGACTCCCACTGCCCTTCGAATGCCTCTTTGTGTTACCTTGATGCATTCTAAAGCAATCCTATTAGAAGATTAATAACAAAATTAATATATCCCTTATTAACATGGTATCGTTTATTCCCTCTGTGTTGTTCCTCGCTTCCATGCGTTTTCTGTTTTCTCTAATTGTCCAAAGGCATTCTTGCTTACTTGTTTATTTAGACTGACTCTGTGCCAGGAGTCACTCTCTACTTGTGTTTGCAGAGTGCTCAGCACGAGGAGATCCCCTTTTCTCAAAATCTCTAAGCCTACTCATAATACACATCATTAATAACAAAAGCATTGCCACATACAGTTAGTGGGATGTTAGTGTCATCTGTTATATCAGCCCCCTGGTACAGGCTTTTATCTCACATCAAAGTTTTGGCCCAATGCCTGGCTGTCCTCTCCTAGCTCTTGGGCACCTGTGCAGTACAGCCACAGTCTGCATCCAGTTCAGTCTGCCAGCACCTTTTGAAGTTGTTGCAATCTGCATAATACATATTTTCCCCTCACCATCATTCACAGGTTATATGACTCCGTATAGCTTCTGTTCTGCTCACTGGTATCACATTTATTAAAACTCAGTGGCTGTAGACAAGGACAGAACTGACATACTTTGCCTGTTGGCTTTAGTGGCACTGACACTGAAGCGGCTCACTGACTATGACTGCTTACTCTCACTTTAGCAAACAGTTAATATCACACTGGAAATACACACCCTAGTTTTCACCTTAGGTCTAATAAATCTAAAACTTGAAAAAACGTGCATAGAAACTATTACCATTTAAACCTGGAGAGTTCTGTGTGTGTGTGCTGACCTTCAGATATTAAATTAACAGTGTCTAGATTTTGGCAATCAGCAGCTTGTAAGGGAACGGCAAGGAAGCCACTTGTCATGAATAATCCCATCTTTCTTGCTTTTTTTAAATTTTGTTGTGCCTTAAACTTTAGGCATCCGATGGAAAGAGACTTTGAGGTTAACTACTAGGTTTCAGTAATTAACTTCTTTATTAGTGGCCACAGCTCGTTGAATTCAGTAAAAATGAATACTCTAAACCCACTTATATGTAGAGAGTTTGATCTCTGTGCTGCTGTGACAGAGTGAAGATTAAATTATCCATATTCGAACCCAAAAGATCCTACAGTGCATTTTACAAGCCTGCCAAGCACTGCACAGGAGTGCAGTATATACTGATACACCAAACAACTGTGGTTGCGAATGGAACAGCTAAAATTTAAGCATATAGAATGTAGCAATCTTGTCTAAATAAGGTAAGAAATAATATAACTTGGACTTTAGCCAGAACAACCCCTTCCTCTCTGCTCTCCCCCAGCCCCTCCAGTCTCCAAAAATAAGAAGTTCTCTAGTGACCACCAAATCAAGACCTTCGGCTTTGCATATCCCCCACTCCCCAGACTATACTTTTTTGTTGGTTTTAATTACAGTTAACAACTCAAAGGCCAAAGTATGCTATTTGAGCTCCACTTTTAATAGTTCATACCGGTAAGAAGGTTGGGAAATACTGATGAGATCTAAGAAAGAGAGAAACTTTACTTTTAAGTTTACTTCTTTTAAAAGGAAGTCAAAATTTGGCGCTGTGTCGTGAATTATCTGTGCTTTCCAATATCTTGCAGTCTTCTTTTGCTATCACAAATCTCCATTCTGGGAAGGAAAAATCCACCCTTTAAAGAAATAACTTCTTTAAATAGAAGGTTACAGACTCACCACATCCATGATCTGCATGAGGCTGAGAGTAAAGTAGACAGTGAGTGGCTGGGAGTCATTTGCAACCGGTCGCTCCAGAGGGTTGTAATTTTTCAGCAGCTCCTTGTAAAGCTTCCTTTGGAACTCTCCTTGCGTGGACTCTTCGGGCACAGGAATAAATAGAGAAATAATTAGGATTCTACATCAGAAAGTAAAGCTGGAACATATGCTCTTTTCCTTCTATCAGATATTATGTGACAATTATTTTACCTGCTGCATTCCCAGAAAAACCCCTCTGTAATTCATATAGTTCATTAGCTACTACAGCACAATCTTACCACAAATATATCACTTTTTCATTTCACCCCAGCCTGCAAGGGCTATTCCCTCTTTGACCGTTTCTCGCCTGGCAAGGACTGATCAATTCTAAATGCTAATGATGCTCTGTCAACATATACACTCTTTGGTCCAGCAGCATTAAGTGCTGAAGAGGAAATACGCCACCTGTATTGACACCTGTCCTAGCATAGCAATAACCAGAAAAGCAGAACACAGATATGACAGAGGGCATCAGCAAGACAATGGGAGAAAAATGGGTACATGTTAGACTGAATCCTGCTCTCAGGCTGTTTCAGAATTAGAACTCTTTGGGGCAAGGAGACTCTGCTTTGTTCTCTGTTCATGCAGCTACAAATAAAGTGGGGTTAGGGGGCTCCTGACAGAGATGATAGGCACTACATTAATATACATGATCATACTCAGGCATTTCTGTCCTTTTTTCCTCAAATCCAGGGAGGGTCTTTATTCTGCCGTTTTTCTATAGAGGGTGAAGGACCATGTCCATATGGATGGAGCAGAGTAGACCAGGGACAGAGGCAGTTTCAGGATGAAAGGAAATCTGGGTCAGAGTAGGAACAGGTTCTCTGGATGCGAGTCCTTGTCCCCACTCCACACACTTTCCTCTTGCCTCATATTTTCTAGTCCTGAACTCCCCCCACAAGACACAATCTCTGCCCTGAAACAGTTACCACTGAAGTGTCTTGTCGGAGTTTGCTCCCCCATCCCCATCGCTCCGTCCATCTCCTATGTTCCTTCCCGGCAGCTCCCTGAGCATCCAAACCCGCGGGAGCAGCCCGGGACAGAGGCCAGCCCCCAGCCACGGCGGGAAGACGCCAGGAGAGAGCTGATGGGGCCGGCGAGGGAAATGAGAAGGTGCCGCGGAGGATCGCAGGCAGCTGCCCCTGCTTCTCCC